TTCTCTGCGGGTTGATGGCCAGTGCTGCCCGTGGGCACCGGTGGCAAACCTGTGCCTGATGCTCCTAGTCCTGGGTGCAGGCGGGGACCAGTGATGCTGAACTGGGGAGTGCCCAGGGGGGCTGCAGGGCCAGTGCTGGGCTCCCAGCTCTCTGTGCATGAACAGAGCCTGGCACACATGTACGGGACCCCAAACACCTCCTCTCTGCAGCAGAGCTGAAGATGGGCAGGGTTTGTGATCCACCACGGAGTGCCTGAATGCAGGAAAGTCAGGGGTTTAATGAGAAGCTGCACGCTGAGAGACATTTATGTGTGATAGGAAAACCTAAGTTCACTTTATTTAACTTTATTTATTATAAGGTGTGGATCCTCCTAGAAAACCCATCCTGGGTGCTTAGATGCCTGAGGGGTTGGAGCTGCCAGACACTGATACACTCCAGGACTGCAGGTGGCTGCTGTGATACCAGGGATCTCCAGGGACATGTGTGGGAGCACATCCTTGGGGAGAGCTGATGGTTTCATCTGCTGGAGAGAGATTTCATCTCTGGCTAGCCCTGGGGATGTCCTGCTGCCGTGGTGAAAGGGTTTGGTCCCAAGGTTTTCATTCCCTGGGAACTGATGGATGGAGAGTGGGTGGAGAGAGGCCATGAAGCACTGCTGGGCATCAGTAATGGCAGTCACAATGGTGGCCACTCAAGGAAAGCACTAGCCATGAGGCACAGCTGGACGGCAGAGCCTCCCAGCTGTGGGTGGTGCTTCATCATTTGGTTTGCTCCCAGCCAGGCCCTGGAGCAGCAGCTAGTCCCAGGGTGCACAGGGACACCAGTGCTGTGTCACCAGGAGCTGCTCTTCAGCTTCACATCCATCCAGCAGGAACAGCAGAGCCTCTGGGCTGGCTCCTCGTGTCACCAGGAGCTGCTCTTCAGCTTCACATCCATCCAGCAGGAACAGCAGAGCCTCCGGGCAAGCGCCTTTGGCTGCTGGTGACACCAGCGCTTCCTCTCACCACTCTCGCTAATGACTTCAGGGCTCCCAGTTACCTTTCAAATGAGCAGCAATTAGCTTCTGGCCAGCACTCCTGGGCTGATCCATTTGGAGCCCGGCCAGGGCTCAGTCAGGCATTAGTTTGATAATGGAGCTTGGACAGAGCGGTGGGGCTGGGCTGCGGGGTGGAAGGGGTGGCAAGACCCTGGGGGACTGCCCACCCTTCCCCTTCCCCAGCAGCACCAGAGGCTGTAGGGATGTGTCTCTGCTTCTGCTGGTGGGCTGGAGGCAGCTGCCCTTGCCCTTCCTCATGACAAACAATCAGCGTTGTGCTTTTTCCTCCACAAACAGCTCTGTGGGTGGGTTTTTGCAACAGGCAGCTCAGGGACAAGGTTCTGCCTCTGCCTGAGAGAGGACAAGAGGTCTGGGCTCAGCTCTCTGGTTCCTGGTGGGGGTGTGAAGGTAGCTGGAGATAGGAGAAATGTATACGCTTGTCTTCCCTTTTGCCCTGAATCTGAGAAAAAAGGTCCATATGGCCTCAGCTGAATCCGTGGGTTGGGTCTAGAAGCTCTTCAGTAGATCAGTCTTTGTCAGAGGCATTGCATGGGACATGGTAGGCTCTCTCCCATCCCAACACTCCTTGAGGTCTATGGAGGTCCAGTCACTTCCTAGTGACTGGCTGTGGGAAGGACATGGATGAGGTTTCCATCCATGCTGTGGGGAGGGGTAACAGCAGGCAGCTGAGTGACTAGGAGTGAGGAGGAACAGGAGGTCCAACACCTCCTGAACACCCTCCTGGCCTGATTGGTGCATAACAAAGCCAGCCCAGGATGCTCTGCACCGGCCCCTGTGCCCTGAGCCTCTTCCAAGCTGTTCTTTGTGCTGAGGACATCTTGCACCAGCAACTGGGGCTGCCACTCAGGACTCTGGAGGACTTGTGGAGCTGGGAGAGAGCTCTCTGGTGCAGCCTCTCTGGTATGCTGCAGAAATTTCTGCTTTTACGTGGCTTTCAAAAGCGTTAAGCTTAACATACAGCCTAAGGCAGGTCAGAAGGGATCAGTGAAATCTCTGTTGCGCTCTCTGCTAAAAACAGGATCAACCTCACAGTCAGATGAATTTTCTCTGGACCTTGTACAGTCAAGTTTGGAAATGCTCTCAGGATGGAGGTTCCCCTTCCCCCAGCTCTCTACAATCCTTTCCTGGTCTGTGACCACTTTCATTGTAATTTTTTTAACCTTACATCCCACTGGAATTTCCCTCCGTGCATCTTAATCGCTTTGTGTCATCTTTCAGCTGTGCAACTCCAGAATTTGTTTCCATCTTTTCTCTACCCCATTGGTGAGTAGTGGTGCATCACTGAGATTGGGGTTGGACACGCACACACACACACACTTCCCAGAGTACCCTGAGAGCGAGGAGAGGTGTGGGTCTGAACTGACCTTTGGGGCTGTTTCTCACCTTCAGGGGTCTGCACCCCAGATACAGCAGTAGCTCTGTTTCAACCCGGTCAAAATACGGGGGCTCCCATGGCCAAGCTCCCCAGCAGAGCTGGACCTTGGTTTGTCTCCACAGAGGTAGATGACACAGTGCGAGACCAGCCTCCAGCCTCTGGTGCTACGGCCTCTGTCTGCAGCAGGCAGGGGTGGACACTCTTGGGTGACACCACAAGGCAATGTGCCATGGTCCTTCACCCCAGGGACAGAGGGGGAACAAGGGTAGCTCCTGCTGCAGCGGACCCTGGAGCTGGTCTCTCCAGGATTCCCTGGGTGAGATGGCATTTCCCTCCTGGTGAGGGACTGGTCATGTACTGTGTCCAGCTCTGGAGTCCTCACTACAGGAATCATAGAATCATAGAATCGTCTAGGCTGGAAGAGACCCTTGGGATCATCGAGTCCAACCATCTACCCTACTCTACAAAGTCCTCCCCTACACCATATCCCCCAACACCACATCTAAACGTCCCTTAAACACATCCAGGGATGGTGACTCAACCCCCTCCCTGGGCAGCCTGTTCCAATGCCCGACCACTCTTTGGGTGAAAAATTCCTTCCTAATGTTCAGTCTAAACCTCCCCTGTTGGAGCTTGAAGCCATTCCCTCTCATTCTGTTGTTAATTACCTGTGAGAAGAGACCAGCACCAACCTCTCTACAGTGATATGAACCTGTTGGAACGAGTTCAGAAGGGGGGCAGGAAGACGCTCAGATGGCTGGAGCACCTCCCCTATGAGGACAGGCTGAGAGAGCTGGGGTTGTTCAGCCTGGAGAAGAGAAGGCTCCAGGGAGACCTTAGAGCAGCCTTCCAATATCTGCAGGGAGCTACAGGAGAGCTGGGGAGGGACTCTTTGTCAGGAAGTGCAGTGACAGGACAAGGGGGAACAGTTTTAAATTAGAAGAGGGGAGATTTAGATTAGATACCAGAAAGGAATTCTTGCCTGTGAGGGTGGTGAGGCACTGGAACACCCAGAGAAGCTGTGGCTGCCCCATCCCTGGAGGGGTTCAGGGCCAGGTTGGAGGGGGCTTGGAGCAACCTGGTCTGGTGGGAGGTGTCCCTTCCCAGGGCAGGGGAGTTGGAACTTGATGATCTTTAAGGTCCCTTCCAACCCAAACCATTCTGTGATTCTGTGTCTAATGGGCTCTAACAGGCATTGCTCCTCTGGAGGAGCAGGAGGAGCGGGCAGGCAGCGGGATGCTCTGACTGCGCTGTGTCTGCAGGCACTGCCTGCCCCAGGCACGGCCGATACCAGCAGCTGAACAGCAGCAGCACTGCGTGGGGACGGAAAAATGAGCCTGGAAGGAGCAAGGCAGCACCTGGAAAGCGTAAGGAAACGGTGTGAGCGTGATGTCAGCGCTCCCCGGGTGTGCGGATGGTGGAGGAACTGCTCAACCTGCTGCATCCCACCCTGTCCATCAGCCCCAGGCACCTCCATGGCTGGGCAGCAGCACCTGCGAGGGTTGGTGAGGATTAAATCCCAGTTCAGAGCCCACTCCCTCCAGTTCACCGGCTGTGCTGGGGCGGCTGGAAACCAGGCTGCCATGGCCATGGCAGGGACTGCCTGGGACCAGACATCCTGCTCCTTCCAGACCATGAGCTGCAGGAGGATGGATGCAGCCACGCAGGGAGAGGTCGGGATTGCTGCAGGAGGGTTGGTGCAGTCTGGGAGAACCAGTTACTCCAGGATGTTCAAACCCTTCTTGTTATTCCTCCCCCAGCACCTGGGTACAAGGTGCTGTGCAGGTCCAAATGTGCAGGAGGAGTTTGCGGTTCTCTGGCCCAGGTCCCCTGTCAGGTCAACAAGTCCTGGTCCCTTTTCAAAGGGTCCCTACCTCTTGCAAGACTGGCTCTGCCCCTGGGTGAAGTGTGAAGGTGCCAGCTGTAAGCAGTGGGGTCAGCTCAGAATTTCCCCAGACCCTCAGTTTGATAAAATTCCTGGCTGCAGGCTGGCTCCTTCCTTGGTCAGCCATGGATGGATATCTGGCATCATGCTGGCAGGTGGCTCTGGAGAAGGTTGGCTTCTGCCGGAGGAAGAGGGCAGTCATTTGCAGAGAACTATCTGCCCTCGCTTACCTCAGGGTTACAGCCAACTATCTCCTGATAACTGCTCCTTCCTCAAAGTCCCTGCTTCTAGAGCCAGGGGAATTTGCAAAAATCTCAGTGTTCCTCTTAACATGGTTTTGTCTTTGCAGGAAAAAGAATTAATTAATGACCTCTGGAGAGCCCACTGTTGCACTGACTGCTGCAAATGCAAAAGAGCAAACAGTGTCTGTTTTTTTAAGATCTTTTTTTAACAAAAGCTTCCTTGCACAGGAGCCATGCTGCCAGAGGAGGGTTAATGATGGCGTTTGCCACTGATGTTCTGACCCTGTGATTTATCCAACACATGCTGTCACGTTTTCCATCTCTCATTCTCCCTTGAGTAAGAGCTGCTCAACAGAGTTGCTGCAACCAGAGGTTCCCACTTTACCCCACCACCTGCTGTCAGTGAAAAAACAGCTTTGAAAAGGAGGGTGGCAACTTTATTCAAAAAGTCCTGGAAAGGTGATACCAAAACAGTTCCTCCAGAACAAACCCGAAAGCTGCAAAACACCCCGGCACAGGCTCTGTTGCACTTCACCTCCCCAGAAGACAGCCTTGTACCCTGCTCAAGGTGCCTGACTGCATCCCTTGCTTAGTGATTCCCTGACTGATATTCTGGGGAACTGGGAGGTGGTCCCTCTTCTACCTGGGACAGGATTTAGCCCCAAATAGGCCTAAGCTTCAAATATAAGTTATTTCAATGCTTTGAGGATGAGGGACCTCCACCATCCATGGGGTTGAGCAGGGAGCCTTCTTTCCCAGGGTGGGAAGACAGGATGGTTAGATGGCTACTGGGGGCACCAGTTGCCTGCTCATGGCAGAGGCTGAGATGTCAGCTCTGCCACCATCTCATGCCCTGGGAACTAGATACAGAGAAGAGCTGCCAGATTCCCCCCTGAGTTAGTAGTTCCCACAATGAACAACTTGCCCACAGACCACACTGCTGTTGCTATCACCCAAAGTGCTAAAATTAAGTCCAGCAAGGCCAGCCAAGGCCTGATATCACCCATAAAGTGTTACTTGGTCCGTGCTGTTGTCTGGCAGTGGTGAAGGCTGGCATCCTCAGCACAGCCCTCTCTTTGGAGACCCAAGTGTTTTGTTCTCCATGTGCTCTCCTGGGGACCTCTTGAACTCTGCTTGAAGCAGCTGATGGAGCTGAAGGGACTGCAAGCAGAATGTGCACATCGGGCCCAAATCACATCTCCATCACCCCAGGAAAGTCTGTGGGGGTATTTCTGAAATGGTGGGAGAGATCTCTCCTACATCAGGTCAAGGTATCTCCTTGTTGAGCCTATTTAGCAGAGCGTGTCTTGACTGTCACAGAAGTCCCTGAGTACTGACACTGTCCTCTCAGCTGGTCTGCAGAGAGAGGGACTGAGGGAAGCACCAAACCCTCTCAGATGGGAAATGACAAAGAAATAAACTTTAAAATTTCAGATTTAAACAACTGAAAAGAGGCATCTGTAATGGAAAGTGCTGAATAACCTATTTGATAGGTGTTATATGTGCTTCCATCCTACACAAGTGGCTTTATGGTCAGCTGAACACTGCAGCAGGGACACAGGAGGATGGAGATGTGGGTCTCTTGGTCTCCTGTCACCTGGGATTTACATTTTGAGTCAGCCAGGAAGTTTGTTTCCATGTGGAGCCTCCATCAGTTTGACAGCTGAAGCAGGAAATCTGTTCCTGGGCTTCGCAACTGTCCAGGGCCCCAGTAGTTCTTTGAACCAAGATCTTCTGAGTTTTTCATTAAGTACCATGTAGAAAGTGCCTGGGACCTTGGTGAGATTAGGTAAAATGTACCTAAGACCTCTCTATCTAGCCAGCAGCTGGGTTTTGCTTAGGAAATCCTCTGTCCTGTCTGATGATGTTGTCTCCCTCTCCTGTTGGGTGCCTCAATACACAGAGAAGGTCCCCAGGCCAGGGAGTCAGCGACACCTCAGGCAGTCTCTCCAGCTGTGAGCCCTGTTGAACCAGTCCTTCCCATCCATGCGGTGAAGTCTGCAGAACTGGTCCAGCCTGTCAGCTGGATCCTGCCTGGCCACAGCCAGGAGAGCTTGCAGTGGCCCTGCCGCTTGTGTTGGACCCGCTGAGACAAAGGCAGTGGGTAGGAGTGTGATGTGCTTAGAGAGGATGCAAAAAGGTTGTCCACCATTCAAGTGCTTGTGCCCAGAGAGGTGACAACACGCCCAGCAGATCAGTAGAGCACAGCTCTTTGTATTTTCAGTGATGAGTTTGAAAGAGCAGCACAACAGCATCCTTTCTTGGTGCTGCTTCTCTTCACCTCCTTGCTCCTTAGATTCACACTCTGGTCCTTTTCTGTTTCCCTGCAAACAGAGTGAAAAAAGATGCGACTGCTTTAACAGACCCTGATGATATCTAAGAAATTCAAGCTCTCTCCAACAAAGGCACCTAAAATCAAAACACTGGGACTCGGGAGACCACTGACCACCAGCCAGCTCCAACACAGAAGCACCAGCAGACTTCTATCTGGGTGGCACACAGGATGACCACAATGCCCATGTGTGCAGCCACGTCAGCTGAGTTGGACGTTGTGGGCTGCCCAGTGATTCTCAGGATCAGCCTAGATCAGGGCATGAGCAAGGCTGCTAATATCTGGTCACAAGAGGAGGACTTTTTCCCCCTTGAAGATCTAGACAGATGAGCAAACACTGGACATCGCTGGGGTTGACACTCCCCCAGTGCCTCCTCTGGTGCACAGTGGGGGCTGCCGTGGCTGTGGAGCTGTGCAGGGTAAGGGAGCCCAGACTCCTGAGAACATGCGTGAAGCATGAAAGAGACCTCTGGGCATGAACTTCCACAGCATTTTGAGGTTAAACTATCAGGGTAGGAAGAGCTGGAGGGTGCTGTTTTTCTGTGACGAGCCATTGAGGTCGGTGTGGTGACTTGTGGAGCACAGGGATTGGAGGAGGGACTGCTGGTTCCCGGTGCCCTGCACACATGGGCATGGTGCCGTGGCCACCAGGCTATGCCGTGGCCATGGCTGTAAAACACCCCCCGCCACCCGGAGCAAAGAGGCTGAGAACAAAACCACAAAAACCCAACGGTGAAAGATAAGCTCTTGGGTCAATAATGAGTTGGGCTTGGGCCAGCTCTCCCAGTGCTGCGTCTCCAAGGGACAGGGACTCACAGATGCTCCACTCATGGCTATGTGGCCATGGGTGAGGCTGGCTCTGGGAGGGATGGGCTCTGCTCCAGCAAGTGTGGTTTGGAGACAGCAAATGAAGGAAGGACTTATGCCCCTGGGGTGGAAAGGGACATTGGAGACCATCTGAGCTGGTGCTTTGGACATGCTGGGGTGTGCAGGTGGATGCCCACGGAGCATGGTGGATGCCCACCATGGGAGATGGTGGGAGAGGGAGGCAAGAGAAACCCTATGGTCCCCTGCCACAGGCACACACCAGAAGTGAGAGGTTTTCCCTCTGGTAGCTGGGCCTGGCTGATTGCTTCTGCCTGTGCACAGGGGAGATTGAAGCCACCATGCCCTGCCTGTGCCCATGACCCTCTGTGCTGGCTGCCTGGAGGAGGTGAAGGATGCTGAGGGCACCTTGTGCACACACACAAATACAGAGACGTGTTTGGGTTTGACTTGTGCACCACCTCCCCACAGGCATCCCGCTGGGGAACAGCCTACTTGCCTGGAGCCACATGAGTTGGGTGGCTCTCAGAGACCACAAATGAACTGGAGAGGAGAAAAGGTGCAAGCAGGAATACCCCATGAGGAACATAGGAGCCTGGCAGTGCAGTGCTTGGACTGAGCCAGTGTGTGGTGGGGTGCATGGGAGGCCTCTGCTCCATGGAGCTGGAGACAGCCTCATCAGTGCATGCCAGGAGGTCTAGGCACAGGGCTGACAGCACTTTCCTGGGTGGGGAGACCACCACCCTCCAGCCCTCATCACCCCAAAGCTTTCTCCGGGCCACATGCTGATGACGTGCCCTGGCTCATCCAGCCTCAGGTGCTGGCAGGGACTTTGCTCCCCATCAGGCATCATTCAGGAGTGAACTGTCCCACCCCTGGAGGGACAAGTGGTGGCAGGGAACCTTGCACCTATTTCCTGCAGGGCTCCCAGGGCGATGCCACCAGCTCGCAGGGTGTTGTCCTCCCTGAGCGACGCATCCAGGCGTGCACCCAGCAAGGGACAGACATTGAATGGTGAAAAAGCCCTCAGCCAAGCTTTACAGGCCAGATTGGACAGGTTTAGCATAAGCAATTAAAAATCCCAGAGCAAATAAAGGAGGGTGTTGTTTACTGCTGCCCTTCCTTATATATAGCTGCAGTATCCAACTAATGCTTGTTACTGGCTCTTATCTCGTGGTGCATCAAGGAAATTCTTGGAGGAGGTAGTCCTAAGGGCACATGGAAGCAAAAGCACCTGAGACCTGGTGGTGGAGGGTAAAGATGAACTCCTGGTCTGGGCGTCCTGGTAAGCGTAGGGCTGTAAAACGCTGTGACTCACAGCACAGCCTCCACGCTCCCAGGAGAGCTGAGAAAACCTCCCGTCTGCCTCCCGCGGTCGCTGCCAACGAGACAAAAAATAAAGAAAAATCAGTAAATAATAATAAAAAAATTGTTTCTCACCCGTTGTGAGAGGCTTTATAAAAAAAAAAAAAAACAAAACTATGCAAGGAAATCTCTCTGGAGTGACTCATGGATGGGGATCCTGTCACTTGGCAGCCCTCCTGCCTTATGCACTGAGAGGTACATGTTTGGGGGCACTGGCCTGGCTGAGACACCAAAACTGAAGAGAGGTGAGTGTGGTTTCAGCTCTGATACTCACCCACGGGTCAGAGGGGGACATCTCCCCCATCTCTGCCTTCTTTTTGTCTCACATACTGTTATAACACCGTTAGCTCCTTGGGGCAAGGGTTGGCTCTTGGTATGTGGGTGCACGGTTGTCTCCTGGCTGGGACATCCTCCTACTGTCATCATCCTTTTTTTGTCATGTGCCATACAGCTCCAAACAGCTGCTCCTTAATTAACTCAGGCTAATTGGCTCCACCAGCCTTGCCAGCACACTGAAGGGGAGGAACACCCCCTTGGGATGTTGGGAAGGCGGCAGGACGTGGTCTGTGCAGTGGGGCTCTCCCGACAAATGGACATTTCCACCTCCTTTAAGCTTTGCAATGGTTGTGCTTCTCATAGGTGAGGCCAAACCCAAGCCCTCTGCAGCAGCTCTTGGCTGACCTGGATGTTTCCATGTCCCCACCAGCCCCTTCATGCAATGCAGACACTGATGCTCAATGCGCGGGTCTATCCTGCTGTAGGACCAGGCTGCAGAGCCCAGCCAAGGTCCAGGCTGATCTTTCTCCCTGTTGGGTGGCTGCCAAGCAAACCAGGCATGTTCTAAACCAGCTTGAGATTAAGAGAGCATAATCTCAAAACCAGTATTCAAACATGGCACTTTGTACCTCGTTTTTGTGTATTCAGCATTTGTCACCAGGCTGTGCACCGGGCATCATACCGGTGCCTTGGTGACACAACCTTTGCTTGATTTTTCACTCTTCCCCATTACTTTGCTGGAAATACGTTCCCCGCTGGCAAAACCTTCCCAACCTGGGCAGCCCAGTAGCACATACTGGTGTGATGGGGGCACACCAACAAGCAGCCAGGTGTCCTCACTCACACACCATTTACACAGAGGTTTTGGAGCTACACGACAGCCTGGATTAGAATTATTCTTATTGACTTCCTCTGTTTGCCCAGGCTGTATGGTGGAGAGGTGGTTCGCACTCCCTGTCCCTCTGCTACCAAAAGCTGTCACGAGAGAGCAACAGCTCTACAGGACCCTCAACTCACAGCATCATCTGATGGGAAGAACTGAGAAAATAAACCCCAGGCACTAGCTACCTCCAATTTCCACCAAAATCCCCTCCCAGGTTCATTTAGATAGGCCCACCTCATCAAAACTAAGTTCCTGTCCATCATTAATCCATTTGAGAGCATTGTAAAGTCTAACGTTACTGCTGAAGAGTGGCTGTCACCAGCAGGAAGGTCTGGCTGCTCTGCCAAGACCTCCACATTCCCCAACACTAGCAAAGCATCCCTGTGCACACTGAGCTGTAGGTACCTTTCCCCTGAAGGTCCATCTGGCTGGTAGATGCTGTGGAGACGAGCAGGCCCATCCCTTTGGTCTTTTTGGATGCTCTTCACCAACTGGATAATGCTTTGGAGCTTCCCAACGTGTGACGTTGCTCCTCCAAGTGCAAGTTTCCATTTCGGCTTTGCTGGAGCTGCGGGTTAGTTAAAACCTAGCTCCCTGAATGGGATCTCAATGTTGAATGTGTACCACAAGACCCAGAAGAGGAGGCTGAAGGCGAGTATCAGAGCTCCCAAGTAAACGAAGAAGTCCCAGGAGCTTAGTGGAGCAAAAATTCCCAGGAGGAGGATGATCAGCCCGACCACATCGCACACCACAGCCAGGAGGAGTATGTAAGCACAGTGGCTCTTGAGCTTGAGGAAGGCCATGGTGGAGCCCCCCAGCAGAGACCCTCAAGGTGGGGGCAGAGTGGCCAGCAGCATCCTGCAGCCTCTCCCTGGCTGCCTCTGCTCCCTGCCTGCCAGGAGGAAGTACAAATGTCACAGCACACCTTGCAGAACAATTGGGAGGGAGCACACGATACAGCTTTAACTGTTTCATGGCCCTGCCACTGCGTCTCCTGGAGCGGATCCCAGGGGCGCGTTCCGCTGCGCAGCCTGTGTGAGCTCTCCAGGGAAGGGACCTGCCACCAGGATACCCTGTGACCGGCCTGGGTGTAGGCACATCACACCCAGCCTCCCTAAAAGGTGCAAGTCTGGTCCTGACCCATCCCACAGAAGGGCTACACTCCTTCCATTTGAGAACCAGGAGTCATCTTGTGTCACTTTTGGGCAGCATCTGCCATGCAAGGACCCCAGCGAAGTCTGCAGGACACCAGCTCCGGCATCCCAGTGACAGCCTGGAAACATTGCATCCATCCCTTCCTCACTTCATAGGTAAACTAAGGCATGGGAATTTGTCCAGAGTATCAGAAATACATCACCCTTGCAACACCTCCAAAAAGCACACTTTGCTGGAAAGTCACAAATCAGGCAACCTGTGTCACTGCCCATCCCCAAGAGGGGAACCGAGCAAGTCAGTGATGAATCACCAAAAAAAGGCAAAACTCCCAGAGCTCCAGGCTTGTCTCTGAGCAGCCAGTACCTACTGCTTTGTAGGACCCAGGACTGCCACCTTTTGCTCCCAGGTTGTTGTGTGGCACCGGGCACATCTTTCCTCTCCTGCCTCTCTGGTCTGTGCGTGCTTGGCAAACAGGGAAAGACTGGGGGAGGTGGAGCATCCAGGGAATCCTTGGCTCCAGGAAAGCCATCCCAAGACAGGAGCACTGCATGGCCTGTGGGCTGGCAGCCACCTGCCCCTTCTCTTGGCCACACAGAGGATGCCAAAGCTTGAGACAGGACCTTTGGGGACAAGGTCAGCGTCAGGGACTGGAGTAGTGCCCAGATGGAAGTACCTGCTGGAGATGGCCTTAGCTCCAGTGTATGCCATGGGTCATGCCAGGAGTGCCATCCTCAATCTCCTTGCCAAACGCAGGTCACCCAGAGCCCATCTGCCACCTCGGCAGCCCCATCACCACTCTGCCATGAGTGAGGTGATGGCTGGAGGGAATGAGGGACATGACCTACCTTGCCTGAGAGTTTCCTCTGCTGCCCAGGGAATCCCAGATGCTAAAAGTCACCATGCTCCCACCTGCCACCCTCAGAGCGCGTCTCACAAACAAGCACAGGGCAGAGGAGGTTACCTGGCACAGCCCCGTGGTCCTCTCTCCTCACCTTGTCCATCCCGTTGCTTGCAAACCCGTGGTGCTGTGCAAACCCTCTGTTCCAGTGCGTGCTGCTCCCTCCCCAAGGCGAGGGTCTGCCCCTTCCAGGAGATATTTTTTTCCCACTTTGTTTGAACAATGAAGGCTTTTTAAATATGCCAATAAATAACTAATCTCTTCTTTGTGCATTATCACCCTCTGGAGCCTTGGGGAGAATCTGCTTTTTGCCAGCTCGGGATGAGCCCTGGATTAATTACCAGCTGGCTGGTGGGAAGTGCCACCGGGACCCAATCACCTTGTTTACAGGAAACACGCTCTGAAATCTGGCTTCATGTGTGCTCAGACAAAAAAAAAAAAATTCCCTTGCTCCTAAACCCTCCCTTCAGTTCATAGTGGTCTTCTCAGCACCTGCAGCCTCCTGGGGAGTCACCCAGGGTTCAGGGGCCAGAGGTTCCCCAGGGTTCAGGCTGGGCTTGCTTGCACCCCGTGGCTTTCCCTTTCCCCTGCCCTGCCACACGAGGCTCAGAGCCATGCCCAGCTCCTGGCTTGCTGTTGGGCAGCCCCTCGGGTGGATACCTCTTCCTTTAGTCTTCTTTCAGTGGACTGTGGTGATTGTGGAGGTGGACAGAGGATGGAGAAGGAGAAGGAGATTTGCAGCTCTTTGCTCCCCAATTCAGCTGCATTCTTATGAACCCACCTGGGGTTTAGTGCTGGTGATGATGGAGCTGCTCTGGCCAGTTTTCTGATGAGCCTGAGCACTGTCACCCTCTGAGAGGAGGGACCTTTTCTGTGTCCTGTCTTTCTCCCACAGCTGTATCCAGTTAATGTCTCTTTTGGGTTTTTTTCTGAGTCTTTGTCTTCTGTTCACTGAATTTCTTCCAGGTTGATTAGACAGGCAGTTTTTATTGTAGTGGGAGAGCCCCAGAAGATGCCTTCAGACTTTTCTGCCCTTTCCAGCCTGTCTCTGATCCTGACAGACATTAGCCACCTGGGGCAGAGTGGACATCACCCCAGGAACCCCCCTCAGACCTGTAACACCCTCCAAAGGCAAATACTTTGAAGGAAGAGGTGTCTGATGCAAGATTGACCTGGTCTCAGGTCAATCCTGACCTGTCCAGCCACACACTGAAAAAGGCTTGTGCCAGCTTGATCTTGCCAGATCAGATGAAGGTCTTCTCCTGGCCTGCATCACATGCCTGGGGCAGCCCAGGAATGAAAAAGAGAGCAAGGAAACTTGTGGAGGTTGTTGCAACGCAGAATCTGGGAATTTCTGATCCTAGTCCAGAAGGTGGAATAGCTGTGGCAACTCCTGTCCCTCTGGAGGAGACACTGTGTGGTGGGATGGCCTGTCCCATTCCTCTGGTGCCCCTCCAGGAGAGTTCAGGGACTGAGGTAGTATTTACCATTGCATTCAAGTCTTCCTTCAGGCTTTCTTCCTTTGCAACCTCTGGCTTTAATGAGCCAGATGTTGCAAGGCTCATCCCGTACTGCCCATCAGGAGGGTATCAGCAGTCCAGCTTGGATTTGCTCTGTAGGGTTTTCATCTGGATGCATTTTGGTGCTGCTAAGCCCTGCCAAGAAGTATGTGAGAGCAGTGATTTGCCCATGACAGCACGAAAGGAAAGGCAACACACTAAACAAAGCTGCTCCCTGGGTATGAAAGGATCCTAAAGGTTTCCAGAAGTTCATTCACCTTCAATTAATGGCTCAGAAAACTACAGACAGTTGTATTTTACTCCAAAGATACTTAACAGGGAGCAGAAAAATCTTCCTACCTCTTCTGCCTTTTTCTAGCCTGGTTCTGCCGTAGCTGGAAAGATGATGTTAGCAGAAAACACTTGTTCCTGGAGCTGGCCCAGAACAGGTTTGCAGAAGTATGTGGCAAGAACGAACCAGTTCTTCACAGGGAACAATGAACGTTGCTTCCCCGAGTTACATATTAGTTGGGAGCAGCAAGAATGGAAGTGCTCTGACAAAATCTTTGGCCAGCGGGAGTCTGTCAATATTTATTTAAATGCAACATGTGGAGACAAACCCAAGAAGGAGCCTTCATAAAGTTTCTCCTGTAGTAAAACCCGGGTAACTCCCTGTAGCACAGGCTGAGCTTTTATGAAATATCTGCCTGACGATGAGGAGAAAACAAATGGGCAGCACGGTGCTGCTTGACCAAGCAGCCCAGGGATGGTTCATGCGTGGTGATCTCCAGGCACAGCTCCACAGCTCAGGGCTGGCTGTGCCCTTGGTGGTGAATGTCTCAAGCTGCTGAAAATGCAGGGGCTGCAGGTGAACTCAGCTTTGTCAGGGGGGTGTAAACTCCCTTCTGTGGCCCAAGGGGGCTGGTTTCCTTCAAGGGCCAGCAGGTCCATGCAGGGTCAGAGCATTTTGGCGTTGGGTCTCAGCCGTGGGACTCGTGGCTGCAGGAGCGAAGCTGCTCTCCAAGCGCTCTCCTTCCATCTCTGGGCGTAGGAAGAGCTTTCTTGACAGAATGAAAGCTCAGAGCAGTTTATATTGAACTCTCAGGACATCTCCCCGGGGAGGAATGGTAACAACAGCTCACCCTTCCCCCGTCATTACCTGAAAGACATTGATAGACACTGAGTGATTGTGCCTCTTCATGTCTGGGAAAGGAGCCCAGGCGTGGCTGGGCAGGAATAACACTGATTTAGGAAAGCCTCCTTCCCCCAGCGCTCCTTCCTTGCTGAGCCCTGGCTGGTGATGCTGATCCCCTGGAAAGCATCCCAAAGAGGACAACACCACAGCATCCTGGCACGTGGGGAGTCAGCACATGTTCCTACTGCTGGAAGAGACTCCCACGCTTTGCAGGGCCCCTCGCATCCCTGGCCAGGGGGAGTGAGCCCCCCCAGACCACGGTGTGGGGGGGAGATCCATCACCCCCCTGCCCACTTTGAGCTGTGAACACCATCGAGCTGTGTCTGGCATATGGTTTTGGTGGGGACATGGCTGCTGAAAGCTTTTCTGCAAGATCTCCCCAGGAGTGGCCAGCAGCTGGAGACGGGTGAAAAGCTGAACATGATGCAGTTATGTGCATTTGCAGCCCAGCCCAGAAGGCCAACTGCATCCTGGGATACATCAAAAGAAGGGTGGCCAACAGAGAAAGGGAGATGATTCTCCCCCTCTACTCTACTCACATGAGACCCCACCTGGAGCACTGCATCCAGCTCTGGACTCAGCACAAGAAAGACATGGACCTGTTGGAGCAGGGCCAGAGGAGGGCCATGAAGATGATCAGAGGGCTGGAGCACCTCTCCTGTGAGGACAGGCTGAGAGAGTCGGATTGTTCGGCCTGGAGAAGAGAAGGCTCCAGGGAGAACTTAGAGCCCCTTCCAGCACATGAAGGGGGCTACAGGAGAGATGGGGAGGGACTGTTTGCAAGGGCTTGTAGCACTAGGACAAGAGACAATGGTTTTAAACTAGAGCACGGTAAGTTTAGATTAGACATTTAGGAAGAAGTTCTTTACACCGAGGGAGGTGAGATGCTGGAACAGGTTACCCAGAGAGGGGGTGGAAGCCCCATCCCTGGAGACATGCAAAGTCATACTTGATGAGGCTCTGATCTAGTTGAAGATGTCCCTGCTTAATCCCTGGAGACATGCAAAGTCATACTTGATGAGGCTCTGACCAATCTCATCTAGTTGAAGATGTCCCTGCTTAAGTGCAGGGGGGTTGGACTAGATGACCTTTAAAGGTCTCTTCCAGCCCAACACATGATTCTATGGTTCTATGA